CAGAGAGGTCAGACCATTGCGACGTGCTCACAAGCCAGCCAGTTAAGAACTAATCAAAAGAACAGAGCGGCGGAGGAGAAACAAAACAAAACAAATAAAAACCCCATAACCACCCAGAAATTAAGATATTCATAAGTAGAGAACTTGTTATTTGAGCACTTTAGAATATGTTTCTCTCTCTGGTTGACTCAATAATTTCTTTCCACCACTACACAGATCTCAGTAGAAGTCTCACCCTTTTTCCCCTCTCTTTCCTCCATCACATATATCAAACCCTATAATGAAAATTATAAAAGCAGGACATTTTTCTCACTGATAGGAATTTTCACAACTACATGATAAATAAAATACATACACTCTTTTCTAAATGATAAAGGCAAGTTAAGACAGACTGTTGCAATGCTCACGAAGTGTGCAATTTCTAAGTGCTTCCTTCTCTTCAGGCCATCTTGCTTATTGGTCAGTCAAATCCCATAACTGCAAAACTGGAAGTAAAATGTGCAAAAGCATCCAGATCCCTATGCTTTAAGTTAGACTTAGAAATATTTTTACTATATTTTCTTAAATGATTGTATGTGCAAGTGATTTATATGCTGTCTCATGAGGTCTGTAAATTAACTCTGGCAACACTGCTTAATTACTGTTTAATTTTGTTACACTCTGTTGCTTCAGTAGCTCATTTTTCATGCTTCCATTGTGGTGCACATGTACTACACTATATGGATATAAAAACACACTCTATACTCACTAAAAATGGCAGTACACTTCATACCTCACTCTCTAGTCCTCTGAGTGTAATTAAATATTTTTTACTCATTCTTTGATGATACTATGCAAGACAGTGCCCATCTTGATATCTAACCCTACTGAAAATGAAGAAAACAAAGGCACTTCTTTTTTTTTTCCCCTCTATAGCTCCTTAAAAAAGCTGAAAAGAAGAACATAGCTGCACTGTAGGACTGATCTAAACTTAAAGCTCTAAGGGATCATGCATTGTAATACATGACCGGAATCCTGTAACTAAATCCCTACATGGCACATTAGTGCAATCACTATCCATAGGGCTGCATCATCCTTTTTATTGTCAATTCATACAAAGAAATACAAGCCTTAAGACCTGACACTTGATTTTCCCTCGCATTACTCATACTAGTAAAGGTTAGCCATTTTCAGTTTTATATCAAGAGGAAAAAAAAAAAAAGTAACTTTTCAACAAGTGACTGAGATCACTTAATGTTTTGTCTATAAGAGAAAGAAACAGAATGCATTAATAATCTGTGCAGAAGTGGGGAAAAAAAAAAAAAAGAGATGCAGTCCCTGAGGGTACAATATCTGTGGGCACTAAGTCCTCACAAAGTAATTTTTCCCATCACAGTAATGAAAACTGACACAAAGAATTTTAAAAAGTTTTAAACCCTGCTCCAGGTGAAGGCTGTGAGTAGCCACCTTTCAAAAACAAAGAGCAAAACCAAACCTAGCGACACAATGAGCCTATTTTAATAGCTATTTGGAAACAGAGCACGCTGCTGAGCTATCTGTACAATGTGAGCACTGTAGAGCTGAGGGCCTGAGAGTGCCTTGCAAAAGGCCCTCCAAATCCCAGATGCAATCAGCTGCAAGCAAGATATGGACAACCTGTGTCTGCTACCAGAGCTTGAGAGCTGCCTTCAAGGAATATTTACACATGGGAGCACTTGTATGCATGGGCATATGCCTATTTAAAAACAAAAAAGAAGAGACAACCTATTTTTTTTTCTCCATGGACAATCAAGGTAAACACTGAATCAGCAAAGGGCAGATTTAAACCTTCAGTCTCTGGAATCATGGGCTGAAGTACTTAAAAAATCTTGATGATGGTGACTTTTAGGCTTTTTATGCGACAGGACTGCTTCCCTTTATCAACTGCTGTAGCAGTTACAGATTGCAAATGCCAGATCTGTCTTCCCTCTTGACAGCTCCCATTACAGAAATAATGCTTCAGGCAGGAAACATTTGCTCCTCTTCACTCCCAGCTCTCACACCCACGTTCAGTACTGCTTTCCTTTTCTTGTTTGTACACATTCCAAGTGAGAGGAAGAGCAACAACACAAGGCTGCTCTATATTGCTCCCTGCTTACCGTGAAAAAAAAAAAATCCTTAAACTTATTTTGAAAATAACACTATCATTTCCCACTTGATTCTGCAAAGACCAGGTGATTCAGTGGGCAAACAACTGTCAAGGCTCCCCCAGCCCTGCTTGTCATGTACTCTATGTATAAAAATACAGTCATGCATGCCAAAATGCTTAAAATGCTTACTTACTCTTACACCTTTAGGACCTGGGTTACCTTCTGGGCCAGCTAAACCCTATTATGAAAAGATACTTCATTTTAAAAAAAAAAAACAGAAATGCTCTATTTAAGAGAATTTTAACAGTAACTGTTGACCACAAACAGGCAATGCTTCTTTCAGAATTATTTTAACAGTAACTGTTGACCACAAACAGACAATGCTTCTTTCAGAATGTGTTTAAGAGGATGTCACCAAGGACATGCACAAGCACCATGTTGAGTAAAGTGTTTAGACATTCAGTGCTTTGCTAATGGATTTGTGTGTGCCAGAAAGGTGTAAAAATTCTATATCTAAATCACTCAGTGCCAAGTTTAAAAGGCATAAAGGGCTACCTGTGAAAGCGGTGTGGCTTAAATATAAATGATACTATGCAAACCGATACATTTATCCTATTAGAAATTCCATAAATGTTAGAGGATATGTTTTAGAAGTACAAGAGTTCAACAGAGTAAATCAGGCAGCTTTTCCAATGTTGATCCATCCAATGTTGTACACCCATTAAATCATATTAAAATTAACCATAGGGGAACCAGATGAGGGAAAAATTACGGGAATGATTTTAACAAACGCCCCATATCAGATGTTTTCAAACAAAAAAAGAACGAACGAAACAAAGACATTAGTACAGTTACTGCACCTGCCTGCCAGGGTAACCAACTGCTCCAGTATTGCCAGCCATTCCTGGAATTCCCTAAATAGGAAAGTCAAAAACAAACAAACAATAATTTTGCTAATTTTAGACTAAAACCCTAAAAGTTCCTACACATATAATTTCAGCTACCTTTCCTTAGAAAAGCATTGCAAGTGGAGTAGGCTAAGATGTTACGAAATATGATAAAGCATAACACCAAATTCCAGAATGAAAAGCATACACTGCATTTATAAAAAGCTATTGAAAAGGCCTGCAGGAGACAAGTCTTTAAGATGAAGGATCTTCACTTATTTTAGGTATATTAGGATAAATGTTTTAAAACTTTAAAGAAGTATCAGCTTTATAAAGACAGGCAGAAGTTGCCCCAGAATCAGGTCAATAGATTAGTCATGATAGGTCATGACTGCATTGAACCTCTTTCCATCTTTCTTCTTCCTAATCAGGTCCAAAAGTTACTTTTGTTGTAGTTTTATTACTCAACATCCGTGCATCTGAGTGTTTATTTTCAGAAAAAAAATGCATCTTTCTGAAATGGTGCCAAAATGGCCTGGCCCCATCGCTAAGCCACTGGAAGCTCCATCCACCTCTGTTCAGTGACTTTGATTTCAAGCAGGCCATCTCCATAAATTGAACACTCTCCCAGCCTGACCCTTCCACCCCCTGTCAATGTAACTACAGGGATGGACCAGGATTTCCTCCCTGAGCTGTTTCACAGCTGATTTATGGTGAAACAGCAGCCTTAGGAAGCAAACAGAAAAGTGAAGAGGCAAAAAGGTTGCAATATTTTTTGTTTATATCAGCTGCCATGGAGCTGATTCTGTCAGTTGCTTTCAGCTGATTTTGATTCTCCTTATAGCATACATTACGCCATGGAACTGGGATCTGTGGTCTCCTATTCTAGCTCAGATGGATCTCAAATATTATATATATATATATACACACACACACACATATATGTGAAAAGGAACTCAAAAAGCAGTGGAATTATTGCATTTACAACTTCTCTTTTAAAACTCTTCCATTCACAGCTCTTTAAGGAATTTAACAATTCACTGATTCAAGGAATGTGCCTCTTTGCTGTAAAAGCTTCTGAAAATGCAGACATGCAGGTGCTACAGATGAGTAGTAACTGGCCTAACTCATCTCTTTCTCCAGCCAGGCATGAAAACAGCAGCAATAAGTACTATTTCCAAAATAAAACACTTTCCTTCCAAAGCGTTCTCTGAAAGGCTAGTTATTTGCCTTTGTAATTTAAAAAAATACTGACAACAGAAGTATGACAAATCTGAGACACTGCACTGCCAATTATCCTATACTGGAACGCATCTAATGGCCTTCAAAGGAATCCGTACACTTGATTGCGTAATTGGCAGAATTATTCTGCAATGCAAGCCTCAATTTTTTCCTCCATGATAACCAACTAGCCACTTTTCCCCAGCAATTACTTTGAAGTTAAGTTACACTTCTACTGAAGCTAACAACGCTATTATTTTTCCCCTCCACTGACTATCTCTATCTCCCTGTTAAATTATACTCTACACAAAAAAATCTCAGTGGGCCTGTAATAAAAGTCACCACTCATTCAGTTAAGATTTGTGTCAGACTCAGTTAAAGTTACAGATAACAATCATGAGTGTTTATCTCCCTTCTGGTGATTATCATCTGTTATGATTACCATTTCTCCTTCAGTATTGTACAAGAGACACTCATGTTTCCACTTACACTGCATTTGAGATTCCCATTATTGCTAATAAGAGGTATCAGCAAGGCACCATCTACGAAACACTCAAATTACACCTTCAACTGGCATGGAAGTGTGAAGAAAGCACCGACCAACCATTTCATTCTCTACATACTAGGAGATAAAAAATGCATTAAGTCAGCAGAGGTTTGAAAGAATTTGAACTGTGCCTCTAGCAAGAATTTCACACCAACATCTGCCAAGCCAGTGAGGTAGCTGAATAAAACAAGCTGGCCTTTTCTGTTTCATTTAGGACATTTTCACTACACTGATCTCTAGAGAATCTGAATTCTTGGTCAGGAACTTTTGATCATTTCCTAAATGAGCATGCAATTTGTACTGATTGCTTCTACTGAACGCTTACATAGGGTCATGCCTTCTTCCATCTTCCACTGCTCCTACCTACTGTAGTGCATATTGTCACTGCCATCACTTACCGGCTCACCCTGTGGCCCTCGCAGTCCCAGATAACCCTTGAGACCCTGCAGGCAATGGAACAGATGTGTGATAAATACAGTTAAACACACAAAATTAACCTTTTCTTCTAACTTCAAACGCCCCCTAGGAGTTTATCAAAGCTTGTTTGAAGAATTAGTATCATTTGTGTTCAGCAGCTCACAAGGGTAAGGAATGTCCATGGCAGCCAAGACAATTTCAAGGCATCACTATAGTCATAAACTTGTTTTCATTAAACAAATGAGTACACTGGATGTCTTCCCCAGTGACCATTGGAATAAATCCAAATCCCTCTTTTCAATGTGTTTCCACATTCCAAATCCTTGCTGCAATTCCCTCTCCAAACAGGCAGTTCAAGGGACAGCCCTAAGCACTGTGTCATCTCAGATTGTTTTAGGATATTCTCTAGGAAGAAAGACCTTCCAGAACCCATGTCCGTCTGTCTCTATTTTTTAAATATTAAACGAGAGAAAATACTAGGTCATATGTTATGGAATTTATCCTATTGGAGAGACTAGCCTGTGCCTTATGACAGAAATCTTCCCTGTTGTGCTAGAAATATGAAGCTGACAAACTTTTTGACACATTCTGTATTATACGCACTGTTCATATCCCAGTTTTACTCTTTCACTATATTTAAAGGTTCAGTTAAAATATACATGAGTTATATACATTCAGTTAAAATATGCTAGAAAAATCTCAGTATTTTATTATTTCCAGAGCAAAGGACAGTTGGTGCTACTATGCATGGGCACAGTCAAGTGTATCAGAATTTAGTTTTTAAGGTGAATGAGCTCATCTCATCAACAGCTGCAAGGACGCCCTCGGAAGAGGGCACACAACTGTGAGACGAAATAAGATGACTAATTACAGAGTGCACGTTTCTACACCACAGCAGCTTACTCCTGCCAGAGGGTAACTGCTACAGACTCACAAGTTAGAGTAGGATGTCCATACTGCTTTTCAGAATAGACGTGTCTTTATTCGGTACAACTTAGTTAATGATGGTTGGGAAGAAATCTAAATTATGTTAAAGTGAATATTAATCCAAAAAGAGAGCTTGCACATGGAGTTTTCCAGTGACTTAGCTAATCTTCTTAGAATTCTAAGTTTTTAAGTCTGGGTTCATGTTCCTGAGCATACTCGCATAAATCCCATTATGCTTTGAGCTAAGATGAAAGTAAACAAGAACCACCACAATTTCACATGTACACATTTGAAAAATGAAATACCTCCCAAATTCTAATGATGATTAATATTTTGATTTGAAAGCTAAAAGTAGAACAGAAAGGTTTAAAGTTTCCCGTTACTCCAATGCAGTTTCTAAACTGCACATTTCTAAAACACAGTAAATTGCAAGAATACTTTTGTTTGCGTGAGAGAAAAAACTTTACTGCCAACTAAAACGACTCAGACAACCCTTTTAAGCCAGTTTAAGTTCCTGACTTCTACCATATGCCTAGCACAGTGGGACATAGACTGAATGAAGTCTCTATGCAGCAAAATAATATAGACATTAAATCATAACAGCAAGCACAGTTCAAGCCAAGCTATATTAGTTGTGTTCATTCTATTTTATTAGATTTTTTTTTCTGCAACTGTGATTAAAATATACTTGGCAACACAGGCAAGTTTAGTAGAAAACAAAGAAGGTTCTGTAACCTCTAAAAATCAAAAATAATGTCTTATACCTAACACTACAAGCATTAGCTACAGAGAATGCAAAAGTAGTTAACCTTTGAAAAGAGCCAAAGGGCTGGAACCAAAAACTTTCTGCCATAGGGCAAATCTAACAAATAAAATAGTGCTCTACTCTGACACAGAAACATTTGCAATGACTTCACATTTTCAACATAGGACAAATTTTTGTCTTGTCTGTTGGCATTAGTAACACAACTAAGACTTCATGCAGCATCTCTTAGCTGGAATTTCCTAGGGAACGGAAATGCCACTTTCTAAAGCAGCCAGCAAATTGACACGGGACAGATTTGAAGCTTGGTGTGTAACGTTACTTTCAAAAGGAGCATATAGAAGGCTTCACTGAAAGCAGTCAGAAATGTCCAGACTCTCTGGAGGGAGGTTTACTATTCTAGATGCTTCTACCTTGCAAACGGAGCTGTGCTTGCAGCTGCTCTAGGCAAAACAAAGTTAGCTTGAGTTAGTTTAACATTATCATTATGCAAAGTAGTAAATGACAGGCTCTCTGCTCTCTATTCTCATTGCTCTATAGCTTGGGCACAGAAGCAGAATACAAGGCAGCTTGTGCTTTTTCCTCCTCTGCCTGGGGAGAAAAACAACCTTTTCTCCATGTAATACAGCAGGGGAATGTCTCTCACACAGAGAGAAATTTCCTTCTGCTGAAGGAAAACGACACTCTCCACAAAAAGCACTAAGACACCCGAGGTTACATACAATTTACATCACCACAGCTACTGCCCTGTGTTCATCTATTTGCCTTATTCTTCACAGGATACAAAAGGAAACACGGAGTCCTTCTCAGGCTGCAATGAATTTTCACTCCCCTCTCTACACAAATTCTTCAACATGTCTGATCATACTATAAGTCAATAAGTGAATTTTACCAGGATTTTCTGGAAACAGATTTCCATGCTTTACTATTAAACACAAACATTTTGCAAAATAACTGGCCAATCTTTTTCTTTAAAAATGTTTCCAAACATCATTGGAAAGTACCTGTGACCACACATGTGCTGCAGTCATTTTAGTGCATTGGCACGAACTCAGGTAAATTTAACTTCCAGACTTCTTCACTGCCCTTTGGTTGACAAATCCATTCCCCACTTCTCAGGCTATTAGAGCTCACTGCTCCCCTGTCTATACAGGGCAAGAAAGACTTTAAGAAGGGAGGATGGGTAAGAAGGGTGTTTCTCCCATGAGGTGTCCAAATTCCTATAAGAAAAGTTTTGTGAGCGTTGATTTTGATGGAAACAAGAACGGCTCCATAAAGATCCACGCAACTGTTCTAGAAACGGCATTCACCTCAAACTTACACAGATCTCCTGCCACTGCTTCTCTGCTTGAAAAGATGCCTGAAAGAACAGGCCTCTAAGCACTTCATAAACATACAATTATCAGTCCTTGCACTAGAATAAATTTGAAACCCTAAATTTCATGTAAATGAGCAAAACTTAGCCTCTTGCATTGTGTGCTACAGGCAAAAGAATTAAGTCTTACTTAGTTAGCAGCCACAAGGATATATATTCTGAAACATGGCATAGAATGAGAAATAAAATTTATCACAATTATCTCTTTCCAGATCTTGATTACTAACATACTTTTGTTTTACTATTTCACAAACAAACAAAAAACATCAATTTGCAATTATGATCCAAAACAGTAGGTTTTGGCACAAACAGTATTATTGTGTTACACTGAGACCTTAATTTTTTTTAAAAAAAAAAAAAAAACTACTAAACTCGGATATTCAGAAAAAACAAAAAAAAAAAAAACAGAGTAGCCATATGGCTACTCACAAACTATTCTGGTACAAAAAGTGAAAATAATATCCACATTCACTCCAAATTTCCACAGCACATGTTTTTGTCTAAGTACCGCATAACATTGCACAAATAAAAGTGAGAACCCGCCTAGTAGTGACTAGAAATAAATCTGACAGACAGTTTTGTGCGTGTTAGCCCACGAGCGTGGAGCAGGTGTGATGATGCCCAGAGGAGGGCAGCAGTTATTGCTGTGGGCTCCTTTGCCAGCTCTCACACCGCAGCTCTTCAAAGCCACCGCGATGGTTAATGGGAAAGGGACACTGAGTTTCCTGAAGAAGTGTGTAAACCTCAAACTGAAGTCTTTCAGGAAAACACAGAGAAAAAAAAAAAGAACTATTGAGGTGAAATTAACAAAGATTTGCCTTACATTATTAAGAAGTCTGGAAAAGCATGAGGCTTTTTATTCAGTATCAAATACCTCGCAGCTTAAAAACTAAGCTCAAGCAATGTCAAAAAAATCAAATAGAAGTTGAAGCAGCATTAATGCATATTTAAGATTTGTTTTTCTTCCTTTCTACATATTAAAGAGAAAGGATATCAGAAATACATTATGTATTCAATACTATGGCAATTACCCAGAAATATTGGGCTATAAAACAAAAATCAAAATAGTTTTATGCAGTTTATCCTTTGAGCTGGTATATTTCACAACTATTTCTGCTTTGAAAATAACTTCTAAGATCACAAACTGGCAGCACAGGAAGATCTGACTGTTTATTTACAAAGCTTGAATAATGATAACTAAAGATGAAATACTTTAAACAATAAGATGGGGGCTTGCCATTAAAAAAAAATAGTCAAGCATAAAACACTTCACAGGTGTAGTGCTGCTCAAAGGTTGGTATTCCTACAATCTGGGTCATGCAGTAATTGTCCTAAATGTGGTTTTAGTTAGTGCCTGATGTATAGGACATGGAAACAGTAAAGTTTCCAGTGATCAAGTAAGCATGTCTGCCCAGAGAGTCTCTAACCTTCAGATAAGGAGTGAATTCTTGTGGCAGGAAGAGAAAATGACCATGAGATTTTCATTTCCTTACTCCCAAACATCAGTCTCATAATCCAGGACAAATGACAGCTGCTTCCCATCTAAGAAGCTTTTATTTAAGACAAAACTACCTTATTGTCCAGGCAGAACTATCAGTCTGATGAAGTGGGAAAGCACTGTGCTTGGGAAGGGATTCTCAGAATATCCAATCTTGGGCTATTACAAAGGCCAATGTCCAGATTTTTAGGTTAACTCTCAGCAGAGGAGATGCAAATTCTTGTCAGAGCTACACATTTTCTCAGTTCCCAGAATCATGAGCCACATGATTTGGAAAGAAATTTCCACGCTCCTGGTGCTAATTCGGTAATAGCTATTTTTCTATTTTTGGCTGCAGTTTTAGTACGTTTTGGTCAATTTGAGAAAACAAAGATGTGATTCCACACCTCAAAATAACTATCATACAGTTTCAGCATGAAGATGACATCGATAACATTGAGTGAAACAGTCTCTTTTTTTTTTCTTTAATTTCAACAGCGTACAAGCTTTTATTAATTCCTTCTTTAAATGTCAAAGAGTGAAACCAAGAATATCTGGGCTTATCTTCCTAACAACTCATTTCATCCTTTGACAAATGCTTTATAGGTGCCTTTAGCATTACATACTACTACAAAATTCTGCTGTTATCTGTTCTACATATTTTTGTTACATTTGCAACACAAAAAAATCTTCTGTAGAGATACTGATTAAAAGCACTTTTTCCCATCTTGTTGATTCTCACTTCCTTTCAAAGGCCTTCAACACCACTCTGCTACCACAAGTTCATTTAGTTTCAATAAAGCTTTTGCACTGATCGCCCCAGAGCCTGACATATTTGGCACTGTACCAGCAGCTGGACAAAAGCCCGAGCTCCTTCCATGATCTCTTGACAATGAGATACCCATTACTGGGCATGGATTTGAGCCAGAGAGGTTTATAGGAAAAATGGACTCTTACCTTCTGGCCTTTGATCCCAAACGGGCCTGGAAAGCCTGTTGGGCCTGGATCCCCCTGCCAAACAAAATGAGCAGATTCACTGTGTTTCGCTGGAACATGACCCAGGGATACAAACATGTAGGATTTCATGTTTTCTCTGCATTCGTGCACATGATGAAAAAGTAGATACTTCCATTTTTATCATGCATGGGTTATTATTGATACTACCTGGTAGGGCAAGTGTGTTTGTGTCATGTATTGTGGTCAAATCACCAACAGAGCTGACTGTTCATATCCTTAGAACATTTACTACTAGCCAACATTAGCAGTAGTGAAGAAGCTAAGCAATTCAAGGCAGTCATTCCCACAAAAGTGAGTGATTTCACCACAAGTTAATATATATTTTTAGCTATTACTATTTATTGTGTTAGTGTTATGTCCTCAAGGCTCACTCAGGAATCAGAAAATGTATTTTCTTACAATTGTTGTTGATGGAGGGAGAGGGTAGCATATTCCAGTTCTCTTTTCTCAGCACAAGACTGATAGTAAAGAGATTTGTTCTTTTAGAGTTAGTGGCTAAATTCAAATGCAATGAGTAAAGGAAAAGATCCTGGAAGTGAATTAACATCAAGATGAGTTCAAGTTCATCATTTAGCCTGCAGAAGTGTCATTTAAGAACCAAAAGAAAGTGTGAACTAAAGAAACAACAATTTTGGGATTACACCACTATCTATAGATACCTATATGAGCTTTAGACAGTTTATCAATACATTTGTGGCAGCTTGGGCTCTGGCCAAACAGCATGCCTAGAATTTCAAGTGGACACATGCAGCTTGCATCACTATGATTAGATTGCCAGAACTTAAAGTCAGCTAGCTTAAATGACATTGCTATTTTTATAAAAGCAGCAATTAAAGTTCTTATCAGTACATCCAAAGACACATATCAAGCTTTGCCCTGTATTTGACTCAGTGCTTTAAAATTGACAGCACATTTTTGTGAATTTTAGGATTTGACAAGTTTTATGCATAAAAAACCAACTTATGTCATGTACAAAATGGCAGCTAGCTAAAATAGAGTTATTTGCTAGTGCTTGCATCATTATTAAGACCATGAGTGCTAGATTCTTAGCGTGCTTTATACTTAGCGCAAACAACGTAACTACTAGTACATGTTCACAATAAAAAGTTAGCGTAAGTATAATTGATTCTAAGAATATATAGTATTGGCTAACACACTAGAATTTGAACACGCCATTAGACTTTTTGCATTAGCACATTATTTAAAAGTGTCAAACAATCTGTGGATTTGCAATCTAAAACTGAAATAATCACAAGCTTTCAAGCCCACAGTTTCCATTAAGAACTGTTCTAAATATTTATACCCAATATATACTTGGGGAAGACAGAGCAAATGCTAACTCGTCTACAAAAGTCTCTTATTTGCACTGGTTAGTCTAATATCAATGTCAGAGGTGCCTGTACTAAGTTTGTATGTACCAGAGGCACAGTACATACAAACCACTGTTCTGGTAAAACTTGTGCGAGTGTGAAACCGGACTTCAAGAAAAGGATGGGCAGATGGAAGATTTTTCTATAATTATTACCTTTTCTCCACGTTTGGCTTGCCCTGGGGAAGATCCTGGGTCTCCTTTAGGGCCCTATGGCAGAGAAGTCAAGCCCATGATTAGCATCAGGGAACAGAGATTTTAAATCATATACTCAGTAACAAATATTTTCACTGTTGCAGCAAAAGAAAGTGGAACATTCAAAGAAATTGTACTTATTATTACAGTTTTGCTTTCTAATAACTTCCCCGGTAAAGAGCCATAACCTAACACAACAGTCCGAGCCTAGCCTGGAACAAGATTTACAGATTTTCTTAATTCCATAATTTGCCAGAAAGATATTTAACAAAATCTAGATTTATTTACAACCTCAGGGCTGAAACAGCCATACTTTCGGTTAAACCTGCGCAGATGACCCGCTCTCTGCTTACCCGCACAGGCCTCATCTATTGCAACAGTTGACTCAAGTTCCACACAGTTACGTTTTATATTCCTTTTTGATCTAAACCTATTTAAGGCTCTACTTGAAGTGAACCCAGTGTCTTGAACCTTCTCTCTCACCACCTTAGGTCTCCGCAAGACTTGCACATCCCCACAGCACAACCTTATGATGTCGTTTCTAACATTTATTGCCCTTTCCCTGTTCACCCAAGGGAAACCCCCCTCCATGACACTGGCAGGTGGGGCTGCCATGGAGTTGGACCAGGCTGCCAGGGCACTCGTCCCACATGCGCAGGCATTCAGTGCCCTGAGGGCCTCCATGGGGCACTTGAAAACCCGACACCAAGGTGGTTCGTGTTCATGTGCAGAGGGGTCCTGCGGGCCTACCAGCCCCGGTGGCACTAGTGACACTCCAGCCCCAACATGGCAGGCTAGTCTGTGACACTGACTGTCACAGCTCCCCAGGGGAGCTTGCTGCCCTTGAAAACAGGCCACGGTGTACTTGGAATGGTGTCAGAATCCACAAACTATATTTGCTTGAAACAATCCTCACGAATAGTTTTAAGCGGCTTTAAAACACATCACACTGTTCACGAGGAGTTAAATGCTGGGGACCCTCAGCCATCAGTTGTCATTGCTAACACACACTTGTGGCAGAACCTTCCTCTCAGTTGGGAGCAGCCACTCAAAACACAGTAAACTAAAAATACATTAATTTTGTTCCATGCTTCAAGTGAATAAAGGATGCTTCAACATAGCAGGAAAAATGCTTGTACATCAAAGACAGAAAAATACATATATATGTCAAGTTATTACCAGAAAATTGTTCCAACTTGTCTACTGTGTTTTAAGATTAAATAAAGTTTAAAGTTTAGCACTTCAGCCTACACAGTTAGTGCAGGTCATCCTGTGGTTCATACTTAATCCTTGCTGAGCACCTGGCTCATTTCTATTTACAGTTGCATTAAAAGTTTCTTAAACAGCAAGGTAACATGCAGCCTAACAGAAACTGATTACTATGTTTTGGGCATTGATACATACATAGATGTGTGTGTGTGAATATATGTATACGCATAAAATTGCCTTCTATTCTAAAAGCATGGAACCTGTCAGAGAACTGATCAGAATGATGAGCTTATGCAGGGAGAAAATTTATTATGAAACAAATCTGATGACTGAGTTATTTTCCTAGCGAGGTACTGTTTTCCAATATACAGCCTTTGCAAATATGGCAAAAGTCAGTTACAAGTCTCTTAGTTTAGGTATTCTCATAAAATAATAACAAAAGGACACATAATACAAAGCTGCATTACTTTACGGCATCTAACATCACAGGCTTTATTCCACATCTTTTTATGACCTCGAGCACTTTTTAACACCTGTCATGACAGGTCAGATTCCTGCCATAAGGAGCTGCACTAAAACAAGTTATGGTTGCTTTTGTTTTTTCCTAGCACATCTATCAAATTGTTCAAATTAAATATGAGTTGAAGGCATTTTGCAACTACACAAATCTGTCAAATCTATTTAAATAGTCTTCATTAAACAAGTTTGAAGGGTTTTATTTGAGTGTCCCGATCTAGTATTTTTCTTTAGTTTTAAATATCACAGCCATAAATCAAGTATTCATGTCTGAAAAATTGGCACATTTGTACATGAAAGGTCAGACATTGGCAAAAAAAAGAGAAGAATGTATGGAGAATGACTCTATTTTTTGTTGCTGTTTTTAATCAAGGCAAAATGTTACAGCAATTAAATGTTTATTCTCATTTAAATACCAGTTTAAGAGGCTGGACTGATTTACAGGAACTCTTTTGAGAAACATAGATTACTTGCATAGATAAGAGTTTCCAGGTCATCAGTCTGTACAGAGGAATTTTTTTCCCCTTCCATTTTGTCCCATATTTTTTTTTCTAGCTATTTTGTTTTGATCTTGAGTTCAGCTTGATTAGTTACATTTAAATTAAAATTGTTTACAATTGCGGTCTCCATCTGTAAACCAATGAAGGCCAGTTGTTTCTATTATAGGAAACAGTTCTATGACTTCCAAAAAGTGATTAAGTTCACATATTCCGTCCACATATAATGGATAAATTAACTCACCTTTGGTCCTGGCAATCCCGGCAAACCTGGATTACCATGTGGTCCTGGAATACCCTATTAACGAGAGAAAAAGAAAAAAGGAATTTAGTACTCCACTGAACAACTATGAACAGTTTGCAGAGAACCATTTTATAGTATCATTTTTGCTTTTAGAACCATCAGTTGGTATTTTAAGGATTCTGAAAACAAAAAACAAAACAAGCAAACCACTTCTCCCCTAAAATTACAAGTGAAGTAAGTACTTTTCTGTATAAATCTCATTTTATTGCCTTCCTAGGTAATAGTTATTTGAGAGGTAGTCACTGCGGCATCACGCTCCAGCTACAAAATAGTCAAGCATGGAAATGAAACAGAAAAATTCTGATTATCTCATGTTGAGGTACCCAGTCACACACTGCAAAAGGAAGGAATTCAATCAGCTCTCCTTGCCTTCAAAAACAATTCAAATTGTTGAATCTAAACAAATCATTGCTGATGCAAATAGGTAGAAAATGGGCTTGTTGCTGATACAGTTTGAGCACAGCAATTTCAGCACTGCTATAGGAAGAGAGGAACAGAATGGGGGTAATGGGACCACCTATATCTCGTTAAAATGCTATCCAGGATAAACATTTGTTCCTGAGCTTGTTTTGTAACCCCAAGTCCTTGAGAAATGGGGGGAAATTTAGAGAAACATTCATCCCAAAGGCTGTAAAAGCAGCTATTTTTTAAATCTAGAAGGACTAAATTAGTGAAACCTTATCTGTGCTAACAAAGCTTTCGTTGACTTCACTAAAGCCAAATTTTTACTCAAACAAATCATCCAAACACCAAAATAATAAGAATCTGTTTCAACTTTCAAATTCAGTGGTTTTACAATGGATAAAACTCAGGGTTTATTTTTCCATCACATGACTAAATTTACCAGTTATATCTTGCAGTAACACTGAAAGCTATACCTCTTAAGCGCTGCCTCTCACCAATGATAATGTTGACATAACTCCATAGAAATGCTGATCCCACATGCTGTTGGAGAGATTAGTTTGCACACATGCAACTTTGAAGGCTCTCTTAGGGATTTAGGAGAACGGAAAGAAACAGAAAGTGTCAACAACTCAAGTGCTGGCAGGGCTCCAAAGTATAGGAAGTCAGGGGCATAAAGGAAGGGCTGCAACACAGAGGGGCAAAAACATCCTGGCTACGCGGAGGCCTCAGGGAATTTGATCTTGTTGCTGATCAACTACTGGGCAAAGCTTGTTAAAAAAAAAAAAGGGTGTTCAAAACAGGAATATAATACAGGGTTACCCATCAAATTGGGGGGGGATCAAAATCAGCTTTTAAGAAATTTGTCATTACCATTCAGGCCTTGGTACGGCATCCAAAGTGTCCAGCCTGTGTCAGGACCAAATGTGGGCCAGAGCAGCCCTGGAGCAGGCCCAGGCAATGCAGCTCTGCCACTTCCCTTCAACACTGCGAAACACATCTCAAGATCCCAAACAGCAGCTGATGCAGCAGGAGACTGACACTGCAAAGCTCCTCTCCTCAACCATCAATCTGCCCTGTATGGGCAGCCACAGGTAAACCAAGGACAAGTACCCATTGAGGAGGTTTCCTTGGTGTGGGGGATCCTGCCCTTGATGCAAGAACAGAGGCAGTGCAGTTCAGCAACATACAAAGCTGAAGCAACTGAAGGAGCCGATAGCTCTGATATAGGAGAATGATTCAGAAAAACTTGGGAAAGTCAAAAAGATAGGATTTGATAGAACCATGTCTTCATACTATATTTTCAATTATTTCTGAGGCACTCCCCTTCCTCCTGCTGCTCTAAAGTGCCCATGCAATGTTCTGCCCTGCTGACCCATGCACTTTCCTACCCAGCGGCTCCAAGCTTGGAAAGCCAGCAAAGTGCAGGACACTTGGGATTGGTTTCAACATGCTATTGAGCGACAGGCTGTTTAAATATTCCTTCAAAGGCTGACTCAAAACTCCCACGCATTTGCCAAGTCTTCACATAAACTCCTGTCTTCTTTCCCACTCATCACTTGGCTCATCAAGCACTCTCTGGCCACGGCCACCACTGTGTCCCCAGCTCCCCAGATCTTCCACTTGGCAAACCCTCCCCTGTTCCCACATACCCAACAGAGACACCCTCCAGAGGCACTTGCCAAGTATTTTTAGGCACACAGGTGTGCAAATGCAGATTTACAAGGGAGAGTTTGCCCCCTCTCACCATGCCAATTAGCCCTTGCAGGAACAGTAGCTTCTTGGGTGCTTGTGGTGGCCAGGACGCAGGCCCCTACCTCTGCCCACACCAGGGCATGCTCAGTACGTGCACGTGCTCATGAAATAAAGCAACAAGTGCATGCTTTAATCTCTCTTTTCCCGAGTATGCTACACAGGCAGGTATCGCTCCTTTTATCAAGCTGCTTCAATACTAGAGACTAAAAACAATTCCTGGGGATTACTTTTTTCCTGCCCAGCAGTGGTTAATTGTTTCCATTGCCCGTGGCAGGCATTGCTCGCTCCCTCTCCTTCCAAAAGCAAACACACACGATCTTGGATTGCTAGAAAACAGACAGGAGCAGCATGTAAAAACTAAAAATTGGTACTACAAACAGCAAAAGCTAGGTGCAGGTGTAATGGTACCCAGAGAAAATCAACCCTGCTGGATGCTTGCAACAGGAAAAAAAAAAACCTATCTGCCAAAATATAAAAATCATGTACTTTCATCATCAAAAAGCATATGAATACAGTTGAGAAAAACAAACAGAAATAGACTCCAGTTTGATTATCAGTGATATACCTAGAGCTATGCAAGGAACAGAACTGTTTTACTCACCCGAGGACCTCTCTTTCCTGATGGACCAGGTAAACCTGGAGGACCTGGAGGACCCTGGTGATACAAAATCAAAGGAGTTGAGGCTAACATCAATTCAAGTATAGTACCATAAGTCTAAATCAGACCAGTTAATGACTTTTTATGCAAACATTCTCAGCTTGAAAACCACTTTCCAAACTACAAGCATGTGTGTTTTTATTTTGGCTGCAAATCAGAGATTTATGTTTAGAAAGTATTTTAATGAGAAACTGGAGCCAACAATTTAGATAGTAACTTTTGCTCAAATACATTCACATTATGGGAAGATGAATTCAGTTCAGAGACTAGAAACAAGCAAATGTTGCTCTCAAGGCATTTGCAAAACACAGAATAGAGAATAATTCAGGCTTTTTAAATAGTATGCTAGCATGCAAAATGAACGTTTTATAAAATTTTGAAAAATAACTGTAAAAATTGATAGCACTTCATTGAAAAGACAGACATAAAGTACAAGAAACATAATAAACACGAACAAATGGTTGTTCAGTTTCCTGAATATGAACTTATGATAATAACTGGCAGCGTGTTCATGTTCATCCTTAGTTTCACTTATACATAATGAATACAATCCTCTCTAAAGAAATGCATTTTTTAAAATGAAAGCACACATATATATGCTAGTATATATTCAGAAGTAGCTTTTGCGAGCACATTATTAACCCCTCTAAGAATATTAGATGGCATACCACCCTCCAGATATCTATGTGCTTTGATCATTGAAGCCTTTGCTTTTCATTACCCCGTTGTTGATCACTTCCAAAACCACAGGATCTACCTCATCCCACTCAAAGAAGTGAGAGCATTCCATAATAAAATCTGCACTACCTTAGATTATACTCCATGCCTCACAGAGGAGTTTGGAGGATGCGTGGGCTGCACTTGGGCTACTCTTAAGGGTGAATTCAGCTCCCACCCAAATGCCAGCACAGCAAGGCCCATCTGCAACAGAAGCAAAACAGTCCCTCTGCTAGGGAAGGTGAGCATCAAGCATAGCCACCTGAAGGAGATCAGTGAGTGTTAGCAGGGAAGGACTTGGTCTGCTCTTTCACACAGCCTTCCCCACACTCCCCCACTGCTCTGTGAGCACTGCAAACCCTCAGCTCAGGCACTAGGAAAAATACTTCCAATACCATGCTCCTCATCAACAATAAAAGCTAGCAGGAATAACAGGCAAATTAGAAGAGCAACTCTAGTTACCATAATGGTGAAAAATGGGTTTTGCAGAAAGAGAGGCACCAAGGTAGGGATAGAGGGAAACAGAGAGATAAAATCTCTAACACTGCTTTGAGTTGTATTAAGATGACAGCTATATTTTTTAAAACCTCAAAGTTTAGCGGAGTGATATTACTTTTTCCTAGGAAAGATAATATAGCTGGCAAAGATTACAGTGCTAATTAGGGACTTTACACAATGCCAGGCCAATTACACCTTCGCTTGGCCAGCACACAGACAGCTTTGGACAATTCTGGAGATAATTTTATCTGGAGGAGGAGGGGAGAGATTTTCTCCTCCAAATAATTGTAATAATCATAGGAACTTAATATTTTTACTGGACAAAATTGTATTAAGTCTTCCATGGGCAAGGACACAACAGCATTTCAACACTCTAGACGCAGTGCAAACCTCTCTGCGCTCACTCAAGGGAAGTCTGTCACAGCCATGCTGATACTTCACTACATCCATAGCTCTATTAAATTAAGCAAGCAGTGTAGGTTTTCCACTGGAAAAGAAAAGCTGCATTAAAAATTGTCCAGCTGACATCTGGAACCCCACTGACTGCAACAGAATTAGAAAACATCTGTTTCTGAAACAAGCCCCTACAACTCATGTGGGCTTTCCTGGAAGGCAAGTGATGATCTATTTTTTTCTGGACTGGAAATTATGCAACTCTTGGTGAAATTTGCTTAAACATGAGATAACCGTACAGGCTACTCAGGGATCCTTTATACTGTCTCCATGTCTTCTCACCTGTAGTCACTAGGTCATTAAGAGCAGAAGCCTTAACTCTGATCTGCTGAGCACTGGCTATTGCCCCAAGACTGCTTGCCTGAAAGAGCTCACGTGGCCCCCAAGGTGATTATGATGACTTATATAGTCCAGAAGACGTTTAATGAGTTATACTAGAGCTGTTTCCCTGAAGGCAGTGTCATCACCATCACAGGTGTTTCAGGAGAGCTGCAGGGGAGGACCATGGCAGCGCAGAAAGACAGTGCGTTCTGCTGCGCTCCTACTCTGCATCTGCATTTGAGATACTAAGCAGAAAAGAGTTTCGCACTGCAAATTAATCACTGCAATGAAGCAAGGCCCACGAGATCTTGGATCCTGCTCAGTCCAGGTTTAATCCTAATTGTAGGGTAACTGCCTGTTCATAGTTGCAAATATTCATGTGTACAAATAGTGTATTAAGTCATGCAGAACTATACACCATATTTTTCCTTCTCCATGTAATTTAGAGGATGCAAATCTGTTATATTCCCAGGTAGCAAGTGTTGGTCTTTAGATGAAACTAATATATTATGCTTTCAGCTAAGGAGGTGGCCTGTTCACCTCAATTGTGTAAGTAATTACTAGCAATCTTTTTTTTTTTTTTTTACTTTTTCTCTACAACAGAGACTTCAATGTGTATTTCATATCTAAGAACAAAAAATTAGTAGATATAGACATGGAAAGGTCTTGATCTTACATTCAAATCAGGAGAGTTCCAAAAACATGCAGCTGATACAGCAGAGCTCTCACTGTGCTGCTGCTGAAGTAATGCTTTCCAATCTACCCTTCTCAAGTTTTAGGTTGAGATGCACTTTCTTTAGAAAATTACCCTGAGGGTACAAAGATACTACAATAAAAGCAATATATTTTTAATGGAATCATGGCAGAAAATGTATATTCTTTTGCAAGTTGTGCTACAAGCTGTCTATCCTTATTTCAGACATTCATTGCATTTCCTTAAAAAGATATTAGTAGCCAAACCCACATTTTTCCTAACAGAAATGTTAATGTGTTTGTTTACACCCACGACTTTTGTTGCTGATTTATTGAATGAGGACAGCCTGAGTATTTTTGCCTGTGTAGCTTCTTTCCTCTTTTTTAAAAAAATACTTTTACTTTAAAAAAAAAAAAGCGTCCTTTGCAAATAAACACTCTACAACTACATTAATTCATGAGTAATTATTCCTCTGATCTAAAAAACACACACACAAAAAAACTCTTTTGACCGTATGTGATGGGAAGACACGTTCTCACAACCAAACTGTCAGCAACAGTCTTATTGCTAAAAGTAGCAGTAAGAGAGATTCTTAAACTCTGTAGCCAGAGATGAATAGTGCTTCCCAAAGTATTCTAAACAAAGTAAACTGTTGTAAATAACTGTTCAAGAGACCTTTTATTTTTATGATCTCTCTGGACTTGGACTCTCCTTCAGTCTTCATCTTGCATTTTTTTCTCTAGTAGAAAGACAACTTTCTATATAAAAACTATTGCCCATTCTATCCACGAACGTGGGCAAGCCCACAGAAGTTGTTTAACACCACTTCTACTTTGAAAATGTGTCATGGAATTGCCTTACTGACCTTATTCTACCCAGCAAAGGGCATCCAAATTCACTTGTTCCTTGATTTTACCATCTTGAGAAATGGTATTTTAACTTTTACAGGTAAAAAACAAACAACTGGAGTTAACTCCTTCTCATAATATTAACTTTTTATAGGAGTAATGTGTTTCAAGGAAACATTATCAGCACTTAACATCAACAAACCAGGTACCTTAGCTAAATTACCTAAGTCTTAACTCCAGCCTGGGCTCCTCCCTATAACTCGAGCAACCTCCCAGCTGGCTGCAGACTTAATACAGCACATGTAAGTTTTCATGGCAATGCTTTTTCAGATAATTGTAAGAAGTTATCCTACCCCATATACTTCTCTAAACAGAAAACATCCACAACTTCAGCCTGTTTTTATACTAGCTAGGAAGCTCCTTACATGTATGGGATGGAGAGACCCTGAGGCAAGCCTGTAAAACACAGAGGTCAGCTTCAGAGAGTGAGTCAATTTGATCTCTTTCAAACCAAGAGAAGTCAGTTGTTTGAACAGATTTTCCTTCTATTATTACAAAGATAATTAAGCCATCTTTAAGCAATTAATAGTACCACCATTTTTTGGCATTTAACATTTTAACAAACAACAAAAAATAGCAACTATGTAAATATTAGAGGAAAATTTGAAATTTATTGCTTCAATATGATCAGTTTATTCAAGACAGACTGTACACGCTTTCTTTAGAAAAGATACTGTCCTTAATAATTGCCATTTAATTTAGCCGGTGAGGGGAGATGTTCAAGTTCCAAGTAACTGTGGCTTGATCCTGAAATAGAGATGTAGATGCTACACTTAAGTAATGTTCACTGCCTTTCAAGTGGTCCCCACTGAATGCACTGAACTTTCACAGGTATATTCAAGTATATTAAGCTCTTCTGTGGAAGCACATGTCTTAAACTTGCACCACCAAAGGTGACAGGAAGCATTTAATTTACCTAGCACAAGCCCTAGGGCTTCAGAGGCACAGCAGTCAGGACTGCCTTCAGCACCTAAACCTGCTGCTCTCATGGCAAATGCTCATCCTTGTTCAGTATCCAAATCATGGTCAGCAAATTCCTCTTGCAAAAGTTGTGAATTTTCTCTAAAATGAGTGATCAAATCTACCATGACCACTTTTTAAAGGAAAAAATTAAAAGAAATAAATGAGTTTTATATCAACCTATCAAACACTTAAAGCAGCCAATCCTTCAGAAAAAAAAAAAAAAAAAATTACCCTTCCAACACATAATCACAGAGTACCTGAAATACATCAGGGGAAGTTCCAGAGCGTAAGGCTCCAAACTTCTTCTACAGAAAGCTACTCCAAAAGAAATTTCACTCCTAATATCACCAGCTCTGTGTCACCAACATCATTATGATGAGCCATCTTTCTCTAATGACTATCAAAATATACTACTTTATCTTGCCTTTCTGCAACCATGCAGAGCAACTGTCTTTACATTAACTTACTTTGCAAAACTATAATGTTTGTCCCTTATCTCCATT